CAAAAAATCAAACAATCAAAAAATCAAAAAATCAAAAAATCAAAAAATCAAAAAACCAAAAAATCAAAAAATCAAAAAATCAAACAATCAAAAAATCAAAAAATCAAAAAATCAAAAAATCAAAAAATCGAAAAATCGAAAAATCGAAAAATCGAAAAATCGAAAAATCGAAAAATCGAAAAATCGAAAAATCGAAAAATCGAAAAATCGAAAAATCGAAAAATCGAAAAATCGAAAAATCGATAAATCGAAAAATCGAAAAATCGAAAAATCGAAAAATCGAAAAATCGAAAAATCGAAAAATCCAAAAATCAAAAAATCAAAAAATCAAAAAATCAAAAAATCAAAAAATCAAAAAATCAAAAAATCAAAAAATCAAAAAATCAAAAAATCAAAAAATCAAAAAATCAAAAAATCAAAAAATCAAAAAATCAAAAAATCAAAAAATCAAAAAATCGAAAAATCGAAAAATCGAAAAATCGAAAAATCAAAAAATCGAAAAATCGAAAAATCGAAAAATTGAAAAATCGAAAAATCGAAAAATCGAAAAATCGAAAAATCGAAAAATCGATAAATCGAAAAATCGAAAAATCGAAAAATCGAAAAATCGAAAAATCGAAAAATCGAAAAATCGAAAAATCGAAAAATCGAAAAATCGAAAAATCGAAAAATCGAAAAATCGAAAAATCGAAAAATCGAAAAATCGAAAAATCGAAAAATCGAAAAATCGAAAAATGGAAAAATCGAAAAATCGAAAAATCGAAAAATCGAAAAATCGAAAAATCGAAAAATCAAAAATCAAAAAATCGAAAAATCGAAAAATCGAAAAATCCAAAAATCGAAAAATCAAAAAATCAAAAAATCGAAAAATCGAAAAATCGAAAAATCGAAAAATCGAAAAATCGAAAAATCGAAAAATCGAAAAATCGAAAAATCGAAAAATCGAAAAATCGAAAAATCGAAAAATCGAAAAATCGAAAAATCGAAAAATCGAAAAATCGATAAATCGAAAAATCGAAAAATCGAAAAATCGAAAAATCGAAAAATCGAAAAATCGAAAAATCGAAAAATCGAAAAATCGAAAAATCGAAAAATCGAAAAATCGAAAAATCGAAAAATCGAAAAATCAAAAATCAAAAAATCGAAAAATCGAAAAATCGAAAAATCGAAAAATCGAAAAATCGAAAAATCGAAAAATCGAAAAATCGAAAAATCGAAAAATCGAAAAATCGAAAAATCGAAAAATCAAAAAATCGAAAAATCGAAAAATCGAAAAATCGAAAAATCGAAAAATCGAAAAATCGAAAAATCGAAAAATCGAAAAATCGAAAAATCGAAAAATCGAAAAATCGAAAAATCGAAAAATCGAAAAATCGAAAAATCGAAAAATCGAAAAATCGAAAAATCGATAAATCGATAAATCGATAAATCGATAAATCGAAAAATCGAAAAATCGAAAAATCGAAAAATCGAAAAATCGAAAAATCGAAAAATCGAAAAATCGAAAAATCGAAAAATCGAAAAATCGAAAAATCGAAAAATCGAAAAATCGAAAAATCGAAAAATCGAAAAATCGAAAAATCGAAAAATCGAAAAATCGAAAAATCGAAAAATCGAAAAATCGAAAAATCGAAAAATCGAAAAATCGAAAAATCCAAAAATCCAAAAATCAAAAAATCAAAAAATCAAAAAATCAAAAAATCAAAAAATCAAAAAATCAAAAAATCAAAAAATCAAAAAATCAAAAAATCAAAAAATCAAAAAATCAAAAAATCAAAAAATCAAAAAATCAAAAAATCAAAAAATCAAAAAATCAAAAAATCAAAAAATCAAAAAATCAAAAAATCAAAAAATCAAAAAATCAAAAAATCAAAAAATCAAAAAATCAAAAAATTAAAAAATCAAAAAATCAAAAAATCAAAAAATCAAAAAATCAAACAATCAAAAAATCGAAAAATCGAAAAATCGAAAAATCGAAAAATCGAAAAATCGAAAAATCGAAAAATCGAAAAATCGAAAAATCGAAAAATCGAAAAATCGAAAAATCGAAAAATCGAAAAATCGAAAAATCGAAAAATCGAAAAATCGAAAAATCGAAAAATCGAAAAATCGAAAAATCGAAAAATCGAAAAATCGAAAAATCGAAAATTCGAAAAATCGAAAAATCGAAAAATCGAAAAATCGAAAAATCGAAAAATCGAAAAATCGAAAAATCGAAAAATCGAAAAATCGAAAAATCGAAAAATCGAAAAATCGAAAAATCGAAAAATCGAAAAATCGAAAAATCGAAAAATCGAAAAATTAAAAAATCGAAAAATACCAAGGTCAGTGGTACTTAAATGTAGGTAGTTGTTAATTGAGTATTAGAACATACTGAAATTTTTAATATGGGGTATTTTATGAATTTTTCTAAATAATAATAATAATAATGTAAATATACAAATTTTGTTATTATATCCTGTTTTAACAAATTTTTTGATTTTTAATTTTTTTCTTCTTTTTTTCCTCTTCATTTCCTTTGAGACAAAATTTTTTTGACAATATTATTTTGACAAAATTTTTTTCGACAAATTTTTTTGACAATTTTTTTAACAAATTTGTTAAAAAACATTTAATTTTTTTTTTACAAAATTTATTTCATAATTTTAAATCGGCAATTTCTATTATGTTTTTTTTGACATTTTTTTTTTGATAAATTTGTTTAAAAACATTTTTCTTTTTATTTTCTTTTTTTTTACAAAATTTCTATTATTTATTTCATAATTTTAAATCGTCAATTTCTATTGTTTTTCATAATGGAAATATATGTTTTAAAATCATCAAATACATAAATTTAGTTCTATTACAGAATCATTACGGAATAATTAAAATTTTGGAAGGAAAGATTATTTTTTCTTGTTTTTTAAACGATGTTATTAAATACAAAAACGACACACCATTCCAAGTCAAGTATAAAAAACAAAAATTTAGTGCAATATAGAGCGTTTTATTTTAAAAATATAACTTTCAATTTTTTGGGACAGCCTGTATGAGTGTGTAAATAAATATATATTGTGGAATTTGGTGATATTCACGTTACGGTGTAATGAGTTTTTTTTATTTGTTTTGGAAGCTACAGTCTGACGCGTTTGTCTTGAACCAGCATGTATGTCTGTAAATAATATAATATAAAAACAATGAATTTTTAGTGGAACACCCTGTACATACACATGCGCCATTTTAAATTAATTATTGTCGTTTGCCGCGCTGATTTGCGGAGATCGTTCAAGTTGTCGAAATGCACAAGGCAAAATTAGAAGTTGTAATAGTTATTTATTTAACAAACGCTTGTAGTAGGTCAGCGCTATATTAATAGCTTAGTTTATAGTTTAGATTGGTTGTTTTATTTTCGAAAATCATTATTTCATCTTGTAGTATCGTACGTTTCACATTAATTCGGCAGTAGTCAGTGTGGTTAAGGGTAGTTTACATTATAGTACGCTCAATAGATTGCAAAGTATTTTTAGATTCTTCACTCTGTACTCTTATTATTTTTATTATTATTTTATTAAGATATACAGTGTGTTTCCGGATAGGTGAAACGACTATTGGAAATGGTGCAGAATTCTCGATTTAAATTTTAATTTTTTTCTAAATTTCAACCTTTTTAAAGTTTTGAGAAATCAAGGCCGTCTGGAAATTTTAAAAGGAATCTATTTTACTCCAGATTAAAGTGTAAGTTTGACCAACTACGATTTTTCATTTATTTTGTTGAAATAGCATTAATAGAAAATGCGAGAGATCAAGATTGGCCAAGGATTTTGAAATTTGATTTACGGACTTTTATTTTGATTTCAAGCAACTTTTATAAATAAATTTTTAATGTATCTGTTACCAAAAATTATAGTGGGCTAATGGCGATTTTAAACAGTTTTTGATCATATCTGCAACATAAAAGACACATTATTCTGGAGAAAAATAAGTTTTTAAAATTTTTTTAAGATATTCTTCATTTCTCAAAACTAAAAATATGTTGAAAATTAGTCTTTAACCAAATGGGGCTAAACCTTACAAAATTTAAATTTAAATCGAAAATTTTGTACTTTTTGAAAAATCGTTTCACATATCCGGGGATACACTGTATAGACCATTACCATTGGTTTTTAAGCAAAATATGGAAATGTACCGATAAACTTAGCACCCAATAAATACATTCTGACATTGATTAAAATGAAACAATTGAATCTCTTTCCGCAAACTCAGTTAATTAAATACTTATTTTAAAAAAAATAGGTAAAAAACTCTTACAAGCACGGGACCAGTGGCGGATCGTGACCAAATTATTGAGGGTGCACAATGACAAAACATAGGTCTCAATACAGTTGTAGGTAAAAAACTGTCAGTGTATATTATAAGGTATACAAATGTACTAAGACCTATAATATTATGTCAATGTGAAATCGAGGGCACGAGCCTAAGCCTCCACTGTTAGGGACATGATAATGAATATAGCAATTCAAGGTGATTTATAATAAATGAGTAGGTAATATTATACCTGCAGATTACCTAACGAAAAATAAATAAATAATTGGTTATTAACTGGGAGTCAAATATTAATAAGAGATTTTGTTGATCTAAAACAACTCGCTCTCAATACAATACAACAATATAAAGGATTATTTCTGGCATCAAAAAATCTAATTGGACTTGTTGCCTCATATCAAATGAGGCAGTTCTGATTTTTTAATATGTTGATAGTGATGAGATGGTAATGACAAATCCAAATTTTCTACCTCGAAATCCTTTCGAATCATTGTCAAATACTAAAAAATTCTTTAAATTTTTGGACTATTTTCAGTTTTTGTCAATTTTTACCATCAAGGACCTGTTACAAAAAGCAAAAGAAACTACTTTAGAACTAACTGAAAAATTATATTTAGATTGGAAAGATCTCATTCCTTTAGTGACAAAATATGAAAAAAAAAAAGGAAGAAATTAGATAACCTTAATTTGATGATTAGGATAAAATAATGAGAGAATTAAAATTTGAAACAAGAGATACTGTTTCCAATAGATTAAAAACAGAAGAAGAAATAATTAAAGAAGAAATGAAATCCTTGGAAATATTAGAACAAGAAAGAATTAAAAGAATAAATTACCAAAATACTGAGGATACATCTAAACTGAAGCATAGAAGTGCTGATGATGATTTTATTTATGATTATGATAATGACTTTGAAGAAAACATGTTGAGTTATATGCACACTATACACAATTTTTAAGTAGACTAAATTTGCAATAAAATGAAAATAATTTGGTTTTGCTAGGCCAAATAGTTTATAAGATGTGGCTATTTAAAAGTTTGCAAAATTAAAAAAAAAGAAAGTATTATTTTTTTTTGTAGATTTCGACAGTCTTTACCCCTAAGGAGTGGGTTAAGGGGAAAAGTTACTTAATTAGTTAATAAAGTGTACTAAATTCCAAACAAAATAAGATGAATTATGTCAACTTATACCTGATATTTCCTGAGACACAGCTTTTCAAAGTTGGTGAGGTAACAATTATATTCTAGAAGGGTTTGCAAAATGAAGTACGCCCTGTTAGTGAAATAAGCATTATAATTTATTAAAATAAACATTTTACTAATTAAAACATTAGTATGAAAATTATAATGAAATGCCTCATTGTATTTTATGTACCGCACAGTTAGAGAAATAGTTATTACTCGCATTTTTTTATATTTTTGATGGACTAGGCTCGCCCTCTGAATCCACAGCACATCTTTTGGGGACAGCTTGCTGAGGTAGAATTTCTACATCGAACTGCTCAGGAAGGTCGAAATCATCTTTTAATGATGTGTCATCAATGAATAATTCATCAATGTCGTCACACATCAGATATGGTATGTTCTCGCAAGATTGGCCAGTTCAGTAACTGCAAATAGCCGAGCATTTCAGTCCTGCCTTCCTGCAACCACAACAACTGCTGATACAACCTTTTTTGTAGTTACAGAAAATAATATTTAGCAGAGCTTGAGGAGCTGGTATTGCCATCGTCTGTTAAAAAACAAGACCTTGTGTACTCCAAATCCAGCCCCCATCTAGGATTCTTCTCATTTTCCAGCCACTTTTGTACCTAAAACAAAATTAACAACAAAATAAGGAACCATGTATAAAGAATGTGGTCTGAAACAGAAAGAAATACAAGCAAAAAACGTATTCTTACCTGGTGGTATGTTCGCAAAGAATGACATTTTGCAGCATCCCTGGTTGAAGGCAATCTGGCGAGGTTCATGTTGGGTTTAACTGCCGCCCTAGTGAACAACTGGAAGCAAAGATCGCTAAGATTTTGCGATTCTCTATTGCCTCCATAAAGTACAACGAGGAAGGTCCCTCCTGCGTCGGCAACTTGCTCAGGTGTGGCATTGGAGCTTAAGAAAATCTCTGCGTTTTGTTTGAGGCGTGACTGTTTTTTAATATCGATATGAATTTATTTTTTTATTGGCCAAAAGGTGCTGATGTTGTATCACAACCGATAAACGTGTAAAGGAACAGCGCTATTCTGGATTGTGCTAATTGCGTAAAGACATTGTAGAGTAGATTATTATTTGGTCTGTTTGTTGAAAAGATGTGGTCTCTTCCATCTCGTAACAAACCACAAAATAAAAACAACAAATCTTGTTACCGTCTAATCCTCGCACGAACGTCGTCCGCGTTCAATTTCCAATGGTTGCCACTGCTATAACCCTACAAAGGCAATTTACCGACTCACGAAGATTTTCAGGTAATGCAAAAGTTTCGACTGTCTGATGAACAGCCCTGGCTCCGGTTTCGCTTCGAGTGGAGAAGGCGTGGTCCGTTTAGTACCAAAAATTCACAGGATTCTATTCTTTTGAGCGCCAGATCGGTTTAACTGCCAGGTAAAATGCTTCCTTGTCTCCTACCTAAATCGATCAAACAATGGGAACGAAATGAGACAACAAAACTCCTGCTATACCTTTTTAATAAATTTTATACCTTTACCCTGTATAAATTGTTGACATACCTTCACCCTGTATAAATAACTGATATACTTTCACCCTGTATAAATAAATTGACAGACGTTCCCAGACTTTACCCTTAATACAGTCCTAACAATAACCTCAATATTAAAACAAACTAAACACATATGTCATCAAGAAAATAAACACCTATAATATAGAAAAATGTACCCTGGTCTATAACATTTACTACTGTCGTAGCTAACACCAACTTGTGTATACAAATTACTATCTTTAGACCAAAAATGTTCACTATGTTGTAGTTATCCCCATAAATATATTAATTAAACACAGTAAAGTCCCCTGGACTCAAAATACAATACTTTACAACTAGGTTGTAGTTGGCGCAAAATAGATATGAATAATATACAATAAATATAGTAAAAATGGTCATGTACGAGTGGTTATGGCATTAATATGTTGTATCTAAAACTAAAGTTGATGTCCCTAGGACAGAAATCAAACCTGTAACTACTGGGGTAGAAATCCCCTACCGTTTAATTAAAAATGTAACCAAAAAATGTCAGGGTCATGGGCGTTGGTACCAAAGGCATGAGTGACTTTTAAATGCTATCTGCACAATGTAAAAGTTAAATACCGATACAAAGTTAACTTGATTTCAGTCTTACACTTTTACTACAACTTAATAATAATTTAAGACCATAAAATCCCTATGTAACATACTCTTGTATTACATATAAAAATCCCCTTCCCAAAAATATTAATGATTAAATAGAAATGTTCATTAAAATTTGATCAGCAAAATGTGCCGTTAATTTAATAATAAAGTAAATAAAACCTCCTTCTTGGAGTCAGTGTCCCCCGTTGGTCACTGCTGTAAGCAACAGTTTGTCCCTGCTACCATTCCAAATCCATGTAAGGTAAAAACACCTGCCTCCTCTGCAGACTGCTATAATTCAGCTAGTTCGAAGTTTCACCCTCTAAGGTGGAACACCAGAAACAAGTTCTAATTGGGACAGTTGGTTTAACTGTGCACTCCAGTAATAAAAACCCTAAAAATATGAAAGATTTTAATACCCAAGCGAGTTTTGGATATCAGTCTCCCTCCCAAAAAAAAAAGAATTAACTACATTAAATAATTTACCCACCCAGTCAAATATTTAAGGAACAAACCGGCTTCTTACTAACTGATTCCCCTCTTAAAAAAAAAAAACGAGTAGCAGAATGTACGCAGTTCTTTCTGTGTTTTTTTTTACTTCAGCTTCAATGACAAAAAAAAGTCTATATAAAAAAGTGTTTTCTGTACAACTATTGAGAAAAACAATACATACCTTACTAATAAGGGTTTTCTTCAAAAATCACAGGTGATCGGCTTGGCTACGACTTAAAAAAAAGTATATATCCCACCATGGGAATTGGATGAAAAACTGTTCCAAAAAAAACAAATCCAGTTTTAAACGCCAGAACAAATAACCATACGACGGTCATCCACAAATGTAGGTTAAAGAAAAATAATCCCCATATACTGAGTTGGGAGTTACAACATCCCTGGATTTTCTAAAACCTAAAAAACTTATTCAAAAGTCGAAAAGCCGGTTCACTACACAGAAAAACTTTTGCGTGCTTGCTGGGTCAGAATTCACCCACGACAAAAATGGCTTCACCGTCAAGTCCGGAAACTGATAATTCGCTAATCTGCGCAAGTACGTCATCATCGAACATCCGGAATAACATGCCTACCTCAACAAGAGTCCAGAAAAGATAAAAGAAGAAGTAACTGAATAACACAAATGTCAACGTCCTTTGACAATGACATTAAACATTGACAGAAACTGCCGAATGTCAGTGTTTGATAAACGTCAAAATAATAGCCGAGAATATAATAACATTATCTTTTTTAACAAGGAAAATACTTAATACTTTGAATATAATATCCCAGAACACTACAATAAACGAGGCAAATAAATTAGCGAAGCGATTTGGTCCGTCAACTCAACGACAAGGTAAATAAATGTATGACAAATGTCATTAACAATAAAAAATAGTTTTACAAGATTATACATTATATAATTACATTTTAGGACTAGTCCAGAGGTTCTAAGACCTCGATGAGCATATAGTTCTCACCAAACTGAAACTATAAAGCGTTGGCGACGCCTTACAGATGAAAAAAAGATAACAAAAATAGGCACGTCGACCCAACTATTGACGAGATTGGATCTAATTAACACAAGAGCCTCGGGTCACTCTAGATGTATTCGCATGGCTTCTATTTCCATGACTATCAAAAACTGAATAGTTTATAACCTTCTGTCGAACTGGAATCATTTACATTGTAGAAAAAACTAACTAAAAAGAAAATAATATTGAAACTCTACCCGCTGATGGGTACTGAGGTGTACATTGACAGCAAAAAATGGGGTATTTAAATGTATCAAGCCAGCTCACAGGTAACCTCCTCAAACATCAAGAAACCTAGGTAAAAACCTGGTAAGTTTCACATCTGGACTAAGTAATAGGTCACAAGTGACACTACCACATAGCCATAACAATATAGTAAGTTTTATACATAATAAACACACTCAGAAATGCTCAAGTCACCACCATAGGCCCCGAAGAAACCTACAGACAGCCGTAAGCTGAAAACTGGAAATCCACCTAAGCACTATAGGGAAGAAAAACAGTTTCAAATGACCAACATTCACCCTCAGTCACTCTCACAAGGTATGTACTACCATAAATATATATTTAACTACATTAAGACACAGAAAGATACCGCCAAAATATTCTAAATACGTCAATAATGTAATTCTTTGCCTACAAAAGTTGCCAACAACAATCAGAAACCTATCAACAGCTGTACGTTTAAAAATTGGGAACTATTGATTTAAATTTGCAGAATAACACTCACCAATATAGGGTATGTAGGTCATAGTTCAGATACAAACATAATGAAGGTCACTAAAAACAAAACTAGCATATACGAGGGGTGTCGAATAAACAAAACTAGTTGCTAACAACATTAGGGCGAAATCAGATCGTAACAATCTATATCCTCGCCAACGATCTTAATTACTTCATAGGAAGAGGATATGGAACTAATTGTGTTTACTATTAATCTATCAGTATATTCCTCTGCCTGCAATGTTAGAATTTTGTTCTTCTCTAGGTGAGCCTTCAGCATGTCGATGAGTCTAACTTTATTCCTGTCATTCAATAAGAACTTTTCCTGAGCAACTGAAATAATGGTTGTTTCATCGAATATAACATCAGGAGAGGACGCTGCTAGAGCTCCATGCAGACAGGACTCTGCTAGAGCTCCACAAAGACGTTCAGAGATCTTGGTATTTTTGTTGAAATGTTATGATAGATGAAAGGAAATTTAAAAAGAATTTAGATAAAATGAATAATTTCACAGAGACTAAAATTAATATGAAAAGAAAAAATCTTATTTAATATATTTAAATATAGTAAAGCATAATATCTTATTCCAAAAAATAATTGTAATTTTATATAGAAGCTAACATGTGTTATTCATTGCAGATGTAGAGGTTATGTATAAAATTTAACAATTTGCTCGATAAATCATTGAACAAAATATATATCCAATAACATTATAAACAAAAAGTACCTTATAAAATTAGACGGTCACTAACATAAATAAATATAAATTAATATTTCAGATGACCAAAATAAAATTAAAATAGAAGTGACCTATTCGTCTTTATCATGACATACAGTCAGGCAGCCCTTAAAGCACTAAAAAGGGTAGAAGTACAATCTAAATCAATATTTGATTGCCAACAGTCCCTCCAGGCCCTGGCAGAACATAACAAGGTCATTCTTGAATGGGTGCTAGGATATGAGGGAGTGTTTGGAAACGGGAAAGCAGACCTCCTAGCAAGGAAGGGAGCGGAAAAAACTTTTATTGGACCAGAACCCACATGTGGTATCTAATACCAACATGTTAAATGGGTGTTAAAGGAACAAATAAATAAAGAACACCATAGCCTCTGGATGGAAATTCCTGCACTTAGACAGTCCAAAAAATTCATAGAGGGGCCATCCACGAGCAGACAACATCAACTGCTAAACCTTAGCAGAAGCGAACTCAAGGCATTAATAGGACTTCTTAGGGGACACTGCAGATATAAAGGACTAAATATCTTAGGGATATCTGATGACTCCCTATGTAGAATATGTGAAGAGAAGGACGAAACTCCTATTCACATACTATGCCACTGTCGGAACCTTAAATGGGAACGGGAATGGTACTTCGGGGTACACTGTCCGGAATCTGAAGAAATCGCGAAAGCGCCCATCAGACATATTTGTGAGTTCATCAAGAAAATTAATCTGATGGGATAAAAACC